GGGTGTTGAGGGGCTGTTTAAGTTTTTAGATAGTTGACCTTGCAAGCGTACTTATATTGCAAAGATTCGCGAGCGGCTAGTTTGATGATAGACTACAGCAATGCGCGCTGCTGCCTGCGGCGCGGCATCGATGCCTATGAGTCGTAGTAAATAAACACATCTAAACAACTATGAAAACGATGCATTTAATGTTCTGAAAAATTACAAGAATCATTTCGACTCTTAAGATTATACTCTTGAGATGTTTCAAAATTTCTAGAGCAGTTATTGATTTTTTTCCAGATGCGAAGCCAACCAGTGAATTGGTTTTTCCTCGTCCTTTCCCTCAGTGATCTCACCGTACTTATCGCCTCTTTCTTCGTTTTCTCAGTTCCCGTTTATGCCGAAGTTGCTGATGATGTTGGTGAGTATACCAAAGTTGTGCACGGAATACAATCGATAAGACGCAATCTTACAGACATGGCGCGAAACTCGGCCGTTTTGATCGTGTGGTTCTATCCGTTAGCGCAGACTGGGCTCACCATGTCCGTGTATTTGACGGTGTTGGTTTCCGTGCATCGATTTCTGGGAGTTTGTCATCCATTTTTGGTGAGTTTTCCAAGATTGTCAGGCTTTAAAAATCAATAAAATCAATAGGAGATGGTGGTGGCTCTGAGGTGCAATATTCACACTTCCATTGTCAAAAAGTTGCTGCAAAACACACAGAAATGACTACCAAAAATTAGAACTTACTGAAAAAATTGAAATAATGAAAAGTTTTTTCAAGCTCATCCGTTGACAAGACCGTATTTCAATAAAATGAATTGCTTTTGTGAATATGCAATCAAAATCTGCAGAGTGAGGTAAAGGTTTTTCTTCTAAAAATGGATATTTTATGACGCAAATCTAAAAATTGAACTTTATTGAATTACTCTGCACTTTTACGTATCATAAAACATGATGGATTTGCAGAAAATTGCACACAAAGTTCTATTTTTGCTCGATTCTCGAAAATAGAATGCACCCATTCACTAGTCAGAAATGAAGAAAAAAATTAGCAGTTTTTATAGTTTTGCAAAGTGCCAAGAGATTTTCAAATCATAAAATAAAATAACTAAAAAAATAAACAATTATTTAATAAAACAAATAGTAAATAATAAAACAAATAGTAAAATAATTCCAATACGAAGTTGCATCCAGATTTTTGGCGGGAAGAATACATCCGTCTATAGTTATGACTGTTTTTTTCTGCCACAAATCAACATACATAACTGTGTTCCCGCCAAAAATCCTCA